CCTCCACAACTAGACTGAAGAACAAAACAACAGCAACTTGTCTGTTCCCCTTCCCCCAATTCCCCAGCACTGTTCCTATCCCCCCAATACCCCAATAAAAATCTTTTTTAAAAAAAGTGACTTTGTTTTAAAAAAAAAAAAAGGAAAAAAGTTCTGACACATGCCACAACATGGAGGAATCTTGAAGAAATTATGCAAAGTGAAGCCAGTCACAAAACCATAAATACTGTATGATTTCACTTATATGAGGTACCTAGAGTCATTCATACAGGCAGGAAGTAGAATACTGGTTCCAGGTGCTAGGGAGGGGAGAGGGAGTGTTACTGTTTAATAAAGTTTCGCAAGATGAGGAATGATGGCAGTGATGGTTGCACAACAATGGGAGTGTACTTAATACCACTGAACTGTACACTTAAAAACGTTAAAATGGTAAATTTTGTGTTATGTATATTTTACATTAAAAAAAGTCATGCAGGGCTGGCCAAGTTGCACATTGGTTAAAAGTTGGCTTGGGATGCCAGTTCTGAGCAACAGGGCCCTGGTTCGGATCCTGCATTAGGGCCAGTGATGCTACGCCCTCTACAGCTAAGATGGTGAACAACAGCTTGACCTGGAGCTGGGCTGCTCTGAGTCACAGGTGATAGTGTAGGCTGCAGTGGAGCTGCAGTGGGCTGCTGTAAAGCTACCGTGAGTGGCCAGCAGCCAGCGTGAGCTGCCAAGAGCCGCCATGAGTAGCCGTCTAGAGGCCGGCGACCGATCTGCCTCACCCAGAAAGAGCACAATGATAATATCAACATGGGCCAGTGAAGTGACGTCCTCCACAACTAGACTGAAGAACAAAAGGACAGCAACTTGTCTGTTCCCCTTCCCCAATTTCCCAGCACTGTCCCCCTCCACCAATTCCCCAATAAAATCTTAAAAAAAAAAAAAGTCATGCAGAGTTACTATTAGATCAGTTCATCTGATGTGCTATTACAACCTATGGGTCTGCATAGCTGGTTAAAAAGGCTTCAGCCTAGACAGTTTCTCTTGAAGGCTTAGCTCAGTTTACAGTAGCCCCCGCTTATCCTCAAACGATACGTTTTCAAGACGCCCAGCGGATGCCTGCAACCACAGATAGTACCGAACCCTACATATACTATGTGTTTTTCTATCTATACATATTTATGATGAAGTTTAATTTATAAGTTAGGCACAGTAACAGATTAATAATACCTAACAATAAAATAGAATAATCATGACGATATACTGTAGTAAAATTATGTGATCGGGGCATTATTAAGTAAAATAGGGTTATTTGAATGCAAGCGACTGTGATACTGCAACAATGGATCAGATAACCAAGACAGCTAAGTGACTAAAAGGCAGGGAGCATGTGGCGATGCTGGACAAAGGGCTGAGTCACGTCCTGTGCGGGCGGGATTTCATCATGCTATTCAGAGCAGCGTGAAATTTAAAACTTATGAATTGTTTATTTCTGGAATTTTCCATATACCAAGTTTGGTTTTACCACAGTTGGCCGCTGGTAACTGAAACTCTGAAAAGCAAAGGCAGGTGGAGGGCAGGGGGCACTACTGTATCTGTTTTGCTAGTCACAAAGCAGTTTTGTCATGATGTGATTTCCGTTTCAATTCGCAGTTTCCACGCATCTCAGACTAGCTGTTAGCAGAGCTGTCTTTGGCTTTTTTAATCTCCTTTGTTTATTTGTTCATTTGTTTATTACACTTACTTAACCACGAAAAGTAGTGGGTTTGGGATTCCAACCCTCAGCAGCCGTATGTTCAGCCTGGGCTTTTGATTGCAAGGATCCTCCATAGGTTAAAGCAGGTCTTTGCAATCGGCGTAGTCCGTCGTCCCTCATCTCTAACAAATGCAATGCAACAGCATTGACTGCTGTAGGCACCATAAAACATGAAGGTAAACACGACATAGTCAGACCTTTAGGACCTCACATACTGAAGGGCATCAGATACATACACAGGTAAATGATAAATTCTAGAAAGTAAATGATGGCCAGGTAAAGTGTCGATATCTGTGACGGTACTTGCTTACATTTGGTTAAAATCCTTTGACAAAGAAACAAGCCTCCTTTTTGGCTGCTAGAAATGGAATGAGATTCAAATTTAAAATAGGAACACTGCTAGAAAATGAAACACATTAACTTAGGTTTCTCTGACATATAAATGAGGGTGTTAGAATCTTTCCTAGGACTAGATTTAGAAAGAGCAGAAAAAGAAACCAAAGTGATTCCCAGCACATGTGCCATAATCTACAGCTCGGGTCAGCAAATTTTTTCTGTAAAAGGCCAGTTAATAAATATTTTAGGCTTTGCAGGCCATTCGCAGCCAAAGATAGTACATACACAGATGAGCGTGGCTGTATTCCAATAAAACTTTATTTATGAACACTGAAATTTGAATGCAATTTTCACAGGTCATAAAATATTATTCTTCTTTTTAATTCCTTCCAATCATTTGAAAGTGTAAAAACCATTCTTGGCTCTCAGAAGCACAGGCAGCCGGCTGAACCAGCCTGCAGCTATCGTTTGCCAAAGCCCTGCTTTCAAGGCTTGCCTCTCAAAGTGGCCGGCAGTCCAGCAACATCAGCAGCACCCTGGAGCTTGTCAAAATTCCAGCACCCCAAGCCCCACCTCAGGTCCACAGAAGGATAATCTGCATTTGAGGAACATCACCTTGTGTTTGATCTGCACATCCCAGTGTGAGAAGGACTGGGTTAAGGTCTACACAGATGCTGAAGCCAGACTGGTGAGTCCCAGTGCTATAATATAGCTTCTCAGAGAAGTGGCCCTGAAAAAGTCCTGAATATCTCTGTGCCTCTTTCCCCATGAACAAGATGGAGCTGACAGCATTGTCTTCCTCAGCATGGTTGTGAGAATTACACACACACACACCTGAAACAATATTTGTCAGTACTATTACAAAGCCTCACATTATGTTATTTTCACAGCCACCCTCTAGACAAGCACTGTTTACCCCATTTCATGGAAGAAACTGTGGCCCAGGGAATTGGGGACACTTGCCTAGGGTGACAGAACAAAGGTAGGGAAGGTTCAAGAGGACAAAAGAGGACACAGTCCCCAGGAGCCCAGGTCTTCATGTCCACATCTCCTTTCTAACAGTCCACTCTCAGCAGCTTCTTTTAGCCACGTTCCTGAGATAGTCCCCCACTCCTGAGTGGATAGCTCCCCAACTCTGCTGCACAAGGGTCTCCCTGAATCTGTACCCCCAACTACATGTTCATTCCCTTGAAATTTATCTTCCATGAAGCTGTGCAGTGTTTTTTACAACTTCTTTCTAGTTATAGATTGTAAATTTTCCCTCTGCTGAGTCTTGTAGCTGACTGACTGTTTTTCATTATATTTGTAGGGCTCAGGGAAAAAAAAAAAGACAATTCCTTTATTTGCGAATCCTGACATTTATTAGCATAATAAAATTCTCCAGATGAAATTGCAGTTTTCCAGACAGTAATTTCATTCACAGGACAACTTACAAGGAATTTATTTTAAGGCCAGGTAACACCTAAAATATATGACACATACAGAAAGTGCAGGCCCCAAATAAAATAAATGTGTTAGGTATTGAAACCTCAGCTGTTGTCTCTCACATACTAATTAGGGTGACAGGGACAACAGCTCAGGGGTTCAGGTTCTCAGCCTATCTTGGTCTGCTTTCAAAGCTGCTACTAGTTCTAGGAATTAAAACTTGTTTCTAACACCATGAAAAACCATCACATCATATCCCCTTGACATGTGACTGCTAAGCACGAAATACTCATTGCTGTTGTTGTGGTGGTTGTCAGCAATACCTTTCACTTGGACAGAGATTTCATACTTATCATTTAAATGACCTGCCAAAAAACCTAGTGATGGCTCTTCTCGGAGCTTTAGTGCAGCTAAATGGCTTGGACGAAGTCACATAGTTCAAAAGTAGCACAGCCACAGCTAAAATTCGGTTCCTCTGAGTCCAAAAGTAAGAAGGTAATTTTCATAATAATCGGTTGTGGTGTTAAAGTACTTTAGAGTTCAGAAAGCAGGTTTCCTACACCACTGCACTTTAGTCATTCAGGGACCCTAGGAGACAGGCAGATAGGAGGGAAGCCATGGAGGCAGGTTGCACACTTGATATTATTGAGCACATTTGTAGAACACTCCTTACCCTGGCTTCCCCACAAGGCAGAGCCTGTGGCAAATACTTACATGCTGCTGCTTTAGTCAGAAGTGCAATCCCAGGGGAGCAGGAGAAGAGAAGGGGGAGTGAGGAAAAGAAGGGGGAAGGACATTCAGGGGTGGGTGCTGATCTGAATGACCATTATGCTTTGTTTCATTATTACTAGTTGCTTGATCTTGCAGGACTGTCTTCTAAGAGGCCATATGAAGAACTGCCTCTCAGAGAAGTCCCTCCAGGAGGAGAAAGGGAGAATTGATCTACCAGCCACTGTCTCCCACAGATCAAAGGTTCACCACATGGAGAGTTCATTTCCCAGCCTTCTCGGTTTTATGCCTCTGCAGTAACAGAAGATGAAAAGCCCAAAGCACCACACGTGGCCAGGTGTCAGTGGAATATGCTCACATGAAGCCAATCGACACAGGGGGGAAGAGCAGAGCCCATGCAAAATTGGTTGCAGTCGTTGCAACTGGGGTGAAACAAGTGGCCAAGGATCTGAAGAACAGGTAACACAGAGGTGAAGTAGAGCATCAGAGATGTTTGATGCAACTATCACGTAAGGTAAACCAGTTCATTGACATCCCAGAGTCCATTCATCCTTTTACTTTTACCACATACAATGCTGCTAGCATTCAAATACTAGTAAGTTCCAGGGTGGGGAGTTGCAAGCAAGTCTGTTTGATCCTAGAGCCTATATTATTTTCTTCATAGCAAGCTGTCTCTTATGTATATGTCCATAAATGTGAAACTTGAATGTGCACAAACAGACACCATCCCTGAGAGTTATAGAGAGTTAGTGGGAGAACCTTCTTCTTAATAGGAAGAACATACTCAGGACAGTAGAATCAAAATCAAAGGCCTATGAAGGTAATCATTTGAGTAATCTGCATAAAGAGGGCCAAATCCTAGAGAGCAAAGGACTTACCGGATGTCTACAAACCATCCTTGGATTTATAATTCGCCCCAGGTTTGGGGCACATCTATAGGGATGCATGAAACCACTGCCTCAATACTGCAAAATGAGGACCAAGATGTGATTTTAAGACAGAAGAGGCATAGCAGAAGAAAAGGCAGATGAGGAAGGTATGGCAGTGTCAGTCACCTGTTCTGGAAGCTGGGGTTCGGAAGCTTTAGTAATTCCCATGACAATATCAATGAGGGTAATAATGAGCATCGTTAAAGATGCATCTTCAATGTTTTCCATATGAATCCTTTACAATATTTCTTCTATAATCTCCCTGACTTTATGAACAGTGACAGGTAGGAAATAACTTACTAGAAATCATTGGTGATCAATGTTGGAAAACTTCCAGAAGTGCATTTATTCAACAAACATTTTATTGAATATCTAGCATATGTTATACTCAGAGTTCGGCACTGGAATTATTTTGGATTATAAAAACATGATTCATGGGCTCTCGAAGCTGAGTTTAGAGCAGCCATGACAAGCAGGCTTCATCTCCTGAGGTCATGTCTGAACTCTTCATGAAAGAGTTGCATCAGTTATTAGCGATTTCTGTCCTGGGCCCTGGGTTGAGGACCAGCAGCACATACACCGTATATTTCATATCCCTTGAGATGTAATAATCTACTTAATCCTCTGGATGGGGGTGGATCTTCCAGAAGGCCATAGAATTTGAGCTTGGAAGTTCTTCAGTTGAGTTCAAAAAAAAGGATTCCCAAAGGAGTTCAATTGACAAGGGAATAAAAGTCATTCGAACAACAGATGGTAGTCTGGCGGGCTGTCCCTCTGTCCACAGGGTCTCTGCAGCAGCTCTCCCCCTGAAACAGTGATAATTTCCTCCTAAAAAAAATAGAAATATTCACTTATAATCAAGAAAGGAAAACAAGTATCCCAAGCATCCACCAGACAGAGACCAGTTCAAGATAGAAAGACTAAGAATATGTGACTGCCTCCTTCTCACTCAAATTTCTAGAAATTAAAAAAAAAATCTGCTTTTAAAAAAAAATTTATAAAAGTATGGGAGTATAAGAAGAAAGCTGTCAACAGAGCAAAAATGTTGAAGGATACTTGAAAACCAAAAGATACACAAGATGAAATCATCAAAGGAGTTAATGTGGGGCGGGGCTAAAACAAGCATCAGTGAGACAGGTTGGGGACCCCCAGACAGCAGAGGTCTTTGCCTCAGGCATGTCAGAAAGTAAGGAGAGGCACACAGTTTCTTGGAAGGCCAAAGAAACCCACAAAGTTCAGATGCTCCCATGCCCAAAAGATGAGCTACTCACTATCAACTCCAACCCTGAAAGCACAAAGAGACTGGATTTGGGGAACAGGAACTGTATCTGCTGATGGATAAATAAGAAATTCAAAGTTTAAAAATTACCTCCTAGCTCAAAATTTATAAATATTTAAGAAAAATCATTACCACAAAAGAAAGATGCCAAACTCAACAACAGAGCTGACTCCCAAGAAAATATCAAGTTTCTAATACAGAAAGAGACTTTAAAAGATGTGTATTAATCTCCTCAGTGGAATAAGATGATAAATCATCCATGAAACAAGAATGGGCTATTATGGAAAAAAAAAAGAACCAATAAAGAAGCTGGAAATGAAAAGGGTGCCCATTTAAATTACAAGAAAAATTTCAGTGGAAGAGCAGAATGGACGTGGCTGAAGAGCAATGTAGTCGCTGGAAGAATTGATACATCAATAAGAAAGCGACATCTAAGTGGAAACAAGGACAAAGGATGTGAACAGACAATCCACAGAAGAAATCCAAGTGGCCATTAGATGTATGAAAAGAGCCTCAGCATCAGCGGTAATCAGAGACATGCAAGCTAAACAACAGTGAGATTCAGTGTCTGCCCATCAGATGGGAAAAAATTAAAATGACTGATAATCCCGTGTTGGCAGCAGTGTTCGGGGAAACAGCCTCATATAGTTTTGGCAGGAGTATGAATCGGCGCTACATTTTTAGAGGGCAATCTGGCAGATCTTTGCAAATTAAAATGTGCATGGTCTTCTCTCCAGCAATTCCAATGTGAGGGATCCGTCTGAGAGAAATACTCGTATGTATGCCCAAAGTGACTATGCAAGAAGTCTCTGCAGCACTGTTTGTGATTGTGAAAACCCGGAAGCTATCTATGTAAGTGGCCATCAAAAGGAGGATGAATAACTAAACTGCAATATACATCCATACCGTGGGACGCCATAGGCATTTACGAGGCTGCAGCACATGTATTCACATAGGAAGATCTCATAGACATATTTCAGTAACAGCCAAGTCCTAATAACGTAGATGTCAGGTGCATTGTTTTAGCACGTTGCAGTGATATCTCACTGAAACCTCACAGTGACAAAGAGGTGAGCGCTATTATTAAACCCATCTCACTGAGGAGGGAAGTAAGGCACAAAAGTTTGAGTAGTTGCCCAAAGTCATACACAATAATGAAGGAAGGCTTTAAAATGGGGCAGCCTGATTGTAGAGACATGTTTTTATAAAATACCTTCTAGGATATATTAAGCATGTTTAAAAAATCAAATTGCTGAGCTGTTGGTAAAGGAGATTATTCAATTTATGTGAAAAACAATAAAACTATGTATTTCCTTATGTACATACATTTTTTTTAATGAATACCCAGAAAATAGTTGGATAGGTACAGGGCAAACTGATCATTTAAGGTGGATGGAAATGGGGATTTGAAATGAACAAGGCTTTCACTTTGTATTGTATTTGGATTTTTTTGGAATGTAATCATAAATGAATTGTGTAATTAAAAATTTAACTTATAAAATTGGCCACCAGATATCCATCCACATGAGCACAGATGAGCTCTCTCTTTAGTGTTAGAAATGAAACTGGCAATCTCAAAGCTTAGATTTGGGAGAGAGTAAAGACCTTCACAGACATCTGGTCTAGCCTTCCTATGCAGGAATCTGCCACAGCATCTCTGAGAGACGGACATTTACCCCTTGCCTGAGTACTTACAGGGACAGGGAGCTTGTCACTGCTCAAAGCAGCTTATCTGAGACAGGGACAACAAACAATGTGGTTTAGGGGAAAAGCACAAGCTTTAGAGGCTTAACTCCTGGACCAGCCATGAACACTTAGCCAAGTTACACAAGCTCCCTTTCCTGATCTGTGAAATAGGGCTGATCTGCCGCCCTCACAGAGCTATAGTGAAGATTACCATATTTCCTCATGTATAAGACACACCTCTTTTTGAAAAATTTGGGGTCTAAAAACTGGGTGCATCTTATATAGTGGTTGTAGATTTCAAATGCCATAGATGGAACTGAGGACGAGGCAATATATGAAGACACTGATTCGTCATCAGACACAGATGAGGACAAGCTAATGGTTGGGAGTTTTGACAGTGATGAAAAGTTGTATGAACTTTATGATGAATAAAACTTGAGTTCAATAACTTTATGTAAAATTTTTCAAATTTCGGGCCCCAAAATTAAGGTGCATCTTATACATGGGAGCATCTTATACATGGGGAAATACGGTAAAGGAGAACATGGACCTAAAAGCAACAAGTACAGCTCCTGACACAGAGAAGGTCCCCATATCCACACGTCCCCTCCCTCTCTCTTTCCTATAGTTGTTAGAAAGCTCTTCCCAACACAAGGAGAAAGCTGTCTTGATCCTGGTTCGTCTAGCTTTCTAAGCAGTCCTCTTCTCCCAGTGTCTAGGTATTTGTAAATGGGTGACTTTCTGTGTACTTCACTTATAAGATCAGGTTAAGAGCTAACTGTCCCTAGATCCCTGGGGATATCCATGAAGGAAAACCCAAGAGTCCCTATTAGAGCAAAAGCCCAATGAGACAGTCAAGTAATTCCGTGGAACTTTCTACCTGTGCAAAGTTCAGGCAGATGGTGGACCCTTGAGCTGTCTTTCAGAATCCCTGGGTCCCATCCTTCCAGGTCATCGAGTTCCACTTTGTCTTTCTCCCACTTACCACTCCTGCCAACAGCCATATTAATACAGAAATTGCTTCTTTCTACTTACATTATTTAGAAGGCAACATCTTTCTCAATGTGAGGTCCATGGCCAGGGAACAAATAACAAAAGGAGTTCTGAGAATCAAGAACTTCCATACCACTTTACAGGTACCAAGTACTGTTATGCACATCCTCTCATTTAATGCTCGTAGGATCTGAGCTAAGCATTATTTACAACCATTTGCCCGGCTAGGAAAGTAAAGCTCAGTGAGACTATGGAGTCTGTCCAAGGTCACACATGTATTACGTGGTAAAGCTGTCGTTGGAACAAGACAGAGTAACGCCATGAGAAAAGCTTCTCTAACCACAGGGTTACTTGGTATGCTTTAACTAACTCTACAAAGCTGCCAGAAGCCTGCCCAGAATGGCCTCAAGAGGGACATCTCGGGAATGAGTTGGGGGTGAGACATGGGCTTGGACAGAAAGCTGGTCAATAAGTCCATAAGTGTTGACAGTAGGGAATACTCAGGTACTCGAGGTGAGAGGGGGCTGGGGACCAGGGTTAGCGGTGCCCGCATGGGTCAGAGGGTAAGCCAGAGAGAAGAGCTAGATTGCCTGGTCTACACACCTTCTGGTCTCTTCTACCCCGATGTGCCACATCCTGTGACTCTAAGGACCACCTAGGGTTGCCTGCTTACTCTCCACCCCCATCTCTTAGAATGCCTGTAGCCTGGCTCTCCCTTTGGAGCTCAAGTTTCTACCAATTTCACCCCCCAATCAGCACCTCTAAGAGCGATACCTTGTGGAAATCAATGAGATCGGTGAGTGTTGCGTGGCGATTGGGATCCACTCCCAGGAAGCTGTAAAAATCTCCGGAGGCATCCACAAGAAAGTGCTTGAACCCTTTCTGCAGACGGTAGGAGAGGGTATAACCCCAGATTTTCTCGCTGACCCGGACTAGAAATGCTCCCTCGGTCATGTTCTCAAGAAGGTCTTCTGCATCTTCTCGGCTAATAATTCCTGGTTTCAAAAAGAAAAAGAAAAATGTCAGTTGCCCCCACTCGCCCCCATCCCTGTTCATCCCTGCCCCTCAGTCTCTGTCCAAGGAAGGGTGGGGTCTCGGGGGCCATCCAGCATTTGCCTCAGTCCACTGAGGGGCCGTGTTGGCCCAAAGCAACCAGCTGTGAGCCTGGGGACAGTTTCTACTAAGGACCTGAATTTAGCTTTCCTCTAAATTAAGCCACACTAATTTGGATTAATTGGGTAATCAAAGAATTAGTAATGAGCTGGAATTGTAGCATTTATCGATCACAAATAGAAGTCAACAAGCATTGCCCTGTGGAGAGCCTTAAGAGACTTGCTTTAACAACGAGACCAGTGTGACTTATGATTCCTGCCTCAGTACTTCTCTGGTACCCATAAAGGAACACCTTAAAACAGTATTTCCTCTTAAGACGTAACAAGATTTCCTCTGTCTACCTGTGGACACTAGGCAAACAATTTCTTAATAGAGGCACACAGCTAGGCTTCACCTGAGCTCAAAGAACAAAATGTTCTCAGGTTCTGCAGTCCTACACTATACACAATGTGGTTTCACCCCAGTGTGGAAGCAGGTCTGGCCTTGGAATGGTTTCTGTCAGCAGCTCTCCCCCGAAAGGCTTTTAGGGCACCACTCTCATCTGGGTAGTGTGCATTTAGTGGATGGGCTCTGGAGGGCAGGGCAGTGGGAAGATGGGCGTAGTCAGAAGACCTAGATGACCCACCCAGCTCTGCCCTCACCTGGCTATATAGTCTTCAGCCCAGCCTTCAACTTCTCCAATATCCTTGACATTTAAGTGGTAATCTTAACCCATTTACTTCAAAGGTATGTTACGACTTTCAAGGCAGATAAATAATTTAAAACCATTTCATAAACTGAGAAGAGCTGTGGAAAAGCTGGCTACTGTTATCATCTGTTATTTTGTGGGGAGAGGTGAATTACAACAAATGGTCCTTTTACACACTCACTTGTTTACCCTCTACATACATCCAGTGGGGTTACTGACAGCCAGTGAGGTAGCAGAGGGTAGAAGGACGCTGGGCTGCTCACCCCCGTGACTTTGAAAGGTGCCACACACTTGGGACTTCTCCCGCACTGTCCCCGATGCCACTCCCTACCCACCTGCAGGCCCTCCCCTCTTTTCTCTCCCCTTAACAGGAGGCACAACAGGATGTCCCTTGTGCCCAAAGCAGAGGACAGAGGCAAGCACTCTGTCACCTGTCCCCCTTTTAAAGACAGCCAGCACAATTGGAAGCTATCTCTTTCCTCCTTGCCCAGGACTTGCCAAGGGACAATCAAGTCAGCCAACTCCTCCCCATCCAGGCTACAACATATAAGAAGAGTTATATAGGCAAAGAGAGAGAGGGAAGAAAATGGAAGCCCTCCCCCCACTATGGAACACATGAAGAATCACACACACGTCCCACACAGGGGGGAGGATACCCCCTGGAGCTGCTCCCTGGAGGACTTAGTGGCTTCAGCCAGAGAGACAGTGGCGAACAAAAGAGGATGAAAGGGCACATCAGGAATCGGTCAAAAGATTCAGCACTGCCCCTCACCCACTTCCCAGCCCCAACGCCAGAGGACCTAGACCTAAAAGATGGCTGCAGTGGGGAGATAAGTAAGGGGAGACAGAGGCACAGTAGAGGCTGGGAGGAAGAAGAACTAGAAGATGTCACCCCCGTCCCCACCCCACGCACCTCAAGCTGAAGCCCAGCCTAGACTTGGGTTTGGGGAGAAGTTGAGTGTTACATTGGGTGGGAGACTCAACAGTCATATTTGAATGTGACTTGATTCTTTAATATCTAAAAGTGACCAGTAACACCAACATGACAATGTCATGTCTCTCCTCCATCTAAAGCCCTCAAATGGGCTCCCACTGATCTCTAGCAGAGTCTGCCTTGGGAACGATGGACACTGGGCCCCTGCCTGCCTTGCCCACCTCTTAGGCTCACCTCGTGTGCCCTAACCACCTGCTCTCCAGAAGCCTCCCTGTTCAGAAGCTTCATCCTCATTCCCAGCCCCCTGTGTCTCAGCTGGCCCTGAGTGCTCACAGAAGGACTCCTCTTTTCTCCCAGGAATCACAGGCTGCTGGTCACCTACACTCCACCTTTGTGCAAGTTAGAAAACGATGTCCCTCTGAGTGGCTGAACTAGAAAAGGGTGGCTCTCTGGGCCAGATTGGCAAAGCTCACATTTCTGCATTTCGCTCCCTCCTCCCCCAACTAGCCCCCTTGACAGGGTCCCTTTCTTCAGTGTACAACCTGCTCAACCCTACCAGGAAATGGTTTCTCTCTCAGGAGGCTACAGGGGATATCCCACCTTGGGGCTTTCATAACATCCTGCCCCGACTCTACAGTATATTAGTAAACTGGCTGTGAACAGAGCCTGTGGCAGCCATGCAAGCGTGCTGCTCAGGCCTCCCTTCAAGAGAGACCCCTGCTGCAAAAAGCAGCATGGGGACAGGCAGCCTCCAGCCACTGCACCTTCAGAATCCATTGCTGAGGCACGCTCTCCTCAGGTTGCTGCCAGTGCAGGGAGTGCTAGACTGAGTACCCCCTGACTCAGGAGGTTCAATGACTGAGCACAGGGGTAGCAGAGCCACCATTCCTACCCAGTGTGGGGCTCCTCTAGTGAGCAGCCTTTGCTCAGGGGCTTCCCGTCAGCCAGACTGAGATCTTCTCTGAGCTGCACTCCAATACCAGGCTCTGCCTCCCAATCGTCCCTCCTTCCCCCTCTCCCCTCACAGGTGTCAGGCCTGTACCACATCTGCAAACTCTCCCCCCTTCTTCTGCGCTATCTCCCCTTTATCCTTCACAGGCATTTCCTCCAATAAATCTCTTGCACTTCTGCTTCCTTCAAGACCCGAATGGACACCAAAGATTTATCTTTGTACCCCAAGTGCCTGAGATGTCATGGGGTTTGTTTGGAGCAGAGATCAAGTGTGTGGATGAAAATCACAGCTAGGGGCTTGATCAGTAGGTGGCCTTGGGCAGGGTACTTAAGTCCCTCTGAAACCCAGTTCAATGTCCTCATGTATGAAGAGGTACTAATAATACACCTACATCATGAAGTCGTTTGAGAATTCATTAAATTAATGCATGAAGGTGCTCATCACAGTGCCTGAGAACATAATGCCTGTCTAATGCAATGTCACTCATCTGCATTGGATACACTAAGCATACTACATGGGTGCTAGTGTTAGGTGCTACCTTCTGCTGGGAGTAGCAATGGTCACAGTACTGCCAGGCTATGTCACCCCCACCTAGTCCTTTCAAATACTGGCTGCTGAGGGTGACTTCCCCTGAAAGGAACAGTCCATGGGCCATTCCTAGGAGACTCTTCAGGTATCTCCATAGTAAACATCTGTGTATTCTGCCCCCTCTTCGATACTTACCTAGAAATCAAAATTGCTATTTGGCCCAAGACCAAAGGTGACACATTCTCATATAGTTCAGGATGGCAAAGACCACTTCACAGAAAACCCAGCCCCTGAGAGAACTGATTACTGGCTAGGAGACATGTAGGATGCTTGCAAGAAGCTGTTATGTTTTCCTGCCCCCCTTCACTCTGCCCTCCCCTTCTCTCTCTCTCTCCCCCTGGATTGCCTCTAAGCCAAGTATTCTGAAAACACAGCATTAATCATATCCCACCCCATCCCACTTCTGTCCCTTCTAAACACTCTACAATCTCCTGGCTAAAGAAAGAGGAGAGGGCCTCACATCGCCGCTTCTGGTTGGGGAGAGAGCACACCATTGGGACCACGAAAACTTTCTAGTTTTGCTAATGACCAGGGTTGGCTGAGGCATGGCCTTACCAGAAGATGGTCCAGGGTAGTTGTTCTAGAATGATCACTGGAGAATGTAACTACAGGTCCTTTCTAAGCTGATTCTCATCCCTTACAATGGGAAATGTAGTTTTTTTATTGTTCCTCTCCTTCCTTTATTTCTTCCTTTTTTCTTTCTTCCCTTTAACAAATATTTATTAAGTACTCTCTAGGAGCCAGGCCCCATGCTGAGCATCTAAAGTCAGCACTGAATGAGACATAGTTCCTGCCTTCTGAAAGCTCTGACTCTGGACAGAAATAAAGATTGGTATAAATTATAAAAAAAAAAAAAGGCTCACTGTAACCAGTAGTAATGAAGGCCACGTGGGGTATGGCCCCAGCTGCTATGGTCCCACCTAGGGAAGGTGCCCACGCAGCTCTGGAGCCCAGAAATGGAAGTGACAGTTAGACTGAAAACAAAGACTAAAAGACAGGAAAGGCAAGGAAGGCAGTTTGCAAAAGGAATTAGCACATGGTTCTTTGTGGCTGGAGGAAGGGCTAACGTAGCAGCTGGGCAGTGGCAAGGTACATAGAAGTAGGCAGGGGTCAGGCCCCAAAGCACTCTCCATACCATTAAAAGAATTATAGATTTAATCCTGAGGGCAATCGGGAGCTACTGATGTTTCCTAAATAGAGGAATATGTGAATGTTCAAGGGTGGAAAATGGATTCAAGGGGTACAAATTGGAGGCATACAAGCCAGGGATTTCAACCCCGTGAGGGCTTCCTCTTCTAAATATTGCTTCACAGCTACATTTCCACAGTTATGGCATTGAAATGCAGCCCCCAGGCCACTAGGCTGCCAGAAATGGCTTCCATTTTGAGGCAGAGAGGCAAAAGGACACAAAGGGGGTCACATGAGAAGCTTCCTGCCAGAGCCAACACTGGGCATCAGCCCTGTGGCCTCATTGCATTAGTCCTCCTAACAACCCTCATAACTGAAGACACTGAGGGTCAGCAAGAGAAGTGACCTTCCCAAGGTCACAGAGCTATTAAGTGGTGGAGCCAGAATTGGAACTCAGGTCCTCAGACTTCAAGTCCAGTGCTCTTTGCTCTACACCATGTTATCTCACACAGAGGACAGTAAGTGCTGTGAAAGACTGAAGGAGATGGATGAGGCCTGTATAAGTCAGGACGGGCTTCGTATAGACAATGAAGTGGGGTGTGAAGTGGACCTTGAAGGCTGGATAGACTCTGTGTGCAGTAAGGAGTGCTGATGAGGGGAAGAAGGGATATGATGAGAGAAACATGACACATGGAATGACACATCCATGGGACATTTATCTAAACATAGCATAAGAGAAGTTTAATCTTAGTCTCAGGAGGTTAAAAAACATGTAGTATGGGATGAAAGGTCTAACACATGTATAATCTGAATCTCAATGAGGAGAGAATGGAGAGGAAGGAATATTTAAAGAGCAAATGGTGGAGAATTAATCAGAGACACAGAACAGTGAAACTGCACAAAGCTACTCCATGTCTCATTTTGCCAACCAGAGAGAAAAGGCAGTTTACCTACAAAGAAGAAACAATTAGACGAATGGTTGACTTTTCAGTTGCAACAACTGAAGCCAGAGGACAATGGGATAATATTTTCAGTATGCCTAGAGAAAAATAACGGTGCTTAATGAAACTCTTTCAAGGAGAAGGGCAAAATAAAGACATCTTCAGAAAAAATTTTCAGAGTTGACGACTAAGGAAATTCTAAAGGATGCACTTCTGGTAGATGAAATATGATCCTGGATAGAGAATGTGAGATGTTAGAAAGAATTATGAGCATAGACACTGTAGGTCAACTTTAAAAAAATATATTGACTTACAAAATGATAATGATAATGGATAATTTGAGGGTTTAAAAAAGTAGAACCATAACACAGGACATCTTATCGGGAGAAATATGATTGGAACTAAAAAATTCTGTCCATTTAGAAAGATGGTAAAGATATATATTATCTTAAAAATACATTAAGTATACACATTAAATCATCTAAATAAACCACTAAAAGATAGGCATTGAGAGTGGTATAACCTCCAAACAGCAGAGGTGGAAAAATACAATGAGAAAAAAAAATGTTTTTTCAATAAAGCATGAAACAAGCTAATAACTGAAGAAGAAATACACTATGGTTCCACTTATATTAAATTGAAACGCCCACAAAGCTAAAAACGCTATAGTATTTGGAGACTAAGAAATACAGCAAAGAAATGAGGGACAAAATATTCAGGATGGGGATCACATCTGGTAGAAGGAGGAGGCTAGCATGGTGAACAGCATACAAGGCCTTTCAAGGGCTGGTGGTGTTTTCACTTTCTAAGCTTCCTTTATGCCCTTCACATATATATGTGCATATACTGAATATATTCAGTGTTTAATATTTTTAAAATATTTTAATATTATTGCTCTGCAATAAAACACATCACGGCTATGACCTTCATTCAAAATTGGTCAATGTCCTTTAGGGAATGGGGAGATTATCACCAAGAAATAAATTGATCACTATAACTGTCAAAGTTGGCTGTCTTGAGTCTCTAGAGCATGACTCTAAGCACTGGCCCACTCCCAAAGAGCCTAGTTTAAATCATTTTGGATACACCAAGCATCAGCAACATTTAAAATCTTCTCATGTAATTCTAATATGTAGCGAAATTTGAGACTCACTGAGCTAGAGAGTAGTCTTACAAGCCAGGACTGACAAAGACGTACACAGTGATTTTTACATTCTAGAAACTCCCTGTATGTTCAGAGTACTAGTCAGAGGTTTGAACACAGAGTTTTATAGACCTTCTCTAGAGAGATATAGGATAGATCCTATGAGGAGTCCCTGCCAGACAAAAAAGAGCTTTTCCTGGGCTGGGGCTGAAGGAGAGGGGGAGAAGGACAGAAAAAAATGCTCTCACTCACTCTTCTGCACCCCACCGCCCAGAGAGATTGGGAAGGTAGCTGAAAGTAGAGGAGTCCTGTATTGCAATGTTTGTGGAGATTTAGCAGGTGCTGCGTGCCTGCCTCATGTAGACACGGCCAGGCAAAAATGGTGTATTTGGAGAGAGAACAGTCTAGAGATGGTGGCTTCCAGCCTCTGAGTTCCTGCGAGGCACGGGAGGAGTTCCAGGACTTCTGCCAGGTTCTCGTGTGGGATTTGGAACATGGAGGTGGAGCAGCCCTCACGTCTGGCTGCTGGGAACAGAGACTGGATCAGCCTTGTGGAGAGCCATCGGCACCCCTGGTCAACTTAAGTGCATGTGTACCTTCTGGCTCAATTCCAATCCTGAGATACATTATAAAGAAATCATTATGTAGATTCATAAGAGTCCAGTGCAAGGAAATTAACTGATTCTTAGATTAATTCGTGTGGTGATGAGTTGGAGGCCATCTGGTTTTCCACGATTCGGGGAGTGGAGGGGCAAAATTAAGTGGCTACACCCCATGGAGTACAGGGCAGCAATTAGAAATGATAGACCAGAACAGAGCATGGATCTCATAGCAGACTGCTCAGTGAGATAAAGTAAGAAACACCAGTGATACTTAGAACACCTCACCTTTCATGCACAGGTACATAAGTACAGGGTAGGAGGGCTAGATTCTGGGATTGGTGGTGGCAGCAGCAGCATTTATTACTCTTTCCAAATCCCAGAATAAAAATCAGGCTGAGCAACTAAAGAGCAAAATCAAAAGTGCACGGACTATATTTAAAACAAAACTAGATGCCAAGGTATCCCCAGGAACCCCAAATACAAATGGGGGTGGGAACAAACGATCAACACAAGACCTTTATGATATCAAGTGTGTACACAAGAGGAAGAAGAAGCAACAAGGATGACCAATGGACCTGAGAGCAGGGAACAGGAATTTGTTGGAAAGCAGGAAGCCAACGTGAGAACAGCAGCTGAAATGAAGAAGGGATGTGCCCTCCCCAGTCCTTGGAGAGTATGAGAAGCCCACGGCGAGACCCTCCAGGGCCACCTTCTACCATTGGAATGGAATCTAACTTGAGCAAGACAGGGGCAAAAAGAAGGAAGAAGAAGTTCCAGACCCACACGGGGGACGGGAGCAAAGCTGGTATGCCAGGAAGCAGGCTGCCGGATTTGTGAAGACTTCCCATCCGCAACAGAGTAGGAGGCTCTGTGGAGTGTAAAACACTTTCCAGGCCCTTGTTTCTTTGAACAGGTCAGGAAAACTACTTTCACATAAAAATTAGCCACAGAAAAGCATCAAGGTCAAATCACATAAAACATTTTCAAGAGAAAAATAAAAAGAAAAGGAAGAGCAGAATAACATCCCTACGGGAGATACATATACAATATATTATCTCCTGTAAATACATACACGAGAACCCTTTCAACAGATATAGGTTAAACTTACCAGAAAGGCTGCTTATTGAGGAGGAAGGAGAATGTGGGGAGAGAGTGGAGATAAAGGAGAATAAGTAAACAAAGAAACAAGGGATAGCTTTTTTCTTCCAATAATGATAAACTATGGGGGCAGGGAAGGGAAGAGGTGACCAGTTAACTCAACCCTCAGGATTTAGGGTTGTTGTTGTTGTTGTTGTTGTTAAACAGGTAGAGATCTGTAAGAGCATGGTCCAGCTCCCTAAGGGGCCACCAAGAAAAGAAGCAAGGTGACCCCAGAATCTCGGCTTGGGGGTGGCCGGCCTTGGCCAACAGGAGTTGATAGGAGTTGCTGAAACTCGGAAGCCCCAGCGGGAAGCAAGGTAGGGCCACGTCACATTTGGGGGATGATCCAGGTGGGTGAGGGGGTGCCCAGGCCCCGGCTGTGCCTGGGATCTGACAGTCGCAGGTGGTCCCAGCAGCCGTCACCATTGGGAGATCAGCAAAAACAGAGGACGAGGTCCAGAGATAAGCCCCAGAGCAGCGCCTTCCTTGGGTTCCTCCCAAGGTCACGAGCTTTCCCTGCACCCAGACACCATTTGGGGGAAAGGAAAGAAACTTCAAGAAGTGTGAGGCCAGACTTTGAGCTTAAAATGATTGAATATTTGCTAGAAAGTAACCAAGTTAAACTAAAACAGACTTCGATCAGAGAAGACGGGATTATCTTTAACTGGAAATTTTAAGGTTTTTGTTTTTTCTTTTAGCCATTAACAGGAAATAGAGATCCAGAGTAACATGAAATCACTTATAAAAACAAGTAAAGTTGTACCTTTTGCATATCCTGCTGGTAACAAGTTAAAGCTTAAAGGAGATATAGATACACATCCAGACACAGACCAGGGTTTCTCAACCTGGGCACTATTGACATTTTGAGCCAAATAAGTATCTGTCATGAGGGTGTTCTGTGCACTGTAGGATGTGTTGCAGCATCCCTGACCTCTACCCACCAGGTGCCAATAATGCCTTGCAGCTGCCACAACCTAAATTTTCTCCAGACATTGGCAACTGTCCCCTGGGACACAATCACTCCCACCTTGAGAACCACTGATGTGGAGATAGACCTAAAAAAACCTCTAATTGGTAACTGGAAAAAAAGTTGTTGAAAAATAGTAGTGTATAATATAATTTATGCAAGAAAGGTAGATTTCACAAGAGTTTATATAAAAATTATCATAATTTTGTAAACAGAAGGTCTATGAGTGCAAGGACTCTGTCTAATTTGTTCCTACTATATTCTTATGTCTGGAATTTACTAGGCCCCCAATATTGTTGAATAAATCACTAATTCATTAAAATTATAATCCTCCAGCATTTAGGGAATGCTGACATTATGCCAACCACAGTGCTAAGGGCTTCATACACACTAGTTCGTTCAAACTTCATAACAATCCTTTGATGTAGGCACTTTTATTCTCCCTATTTTACAGAATTAAAACTCAGGCCGATAGAGATTGAATTACTTGCCCAAGGTCTCACACTAGTAAGTGGCAGAGTGGGGAAAGAAGCAATGCCCAGAGGTCTGGTTTTGTCAGGGCTGTACCTAAAATGGTGTGAGGGTGGGAACAGTCACAAAGCTCTGCAAACAGAAACTGTGCCCTATCTCCAGAGCAGAGACCTTTCTAGTTTGGATAGGCCTGTCCCCCGGAGCTGCAAGATTCAGTATACTATCCTGTTGAAAGCAATACCAAATCAGACAAATCTGAGTTTCCACTCAGGTGTCTGCCACTTATGGCCTGATCTTGAGCAAGTAAATCTCTCAACAGTATGTGAACAAAAAGGGGGATACATGGTAGGCTTGACAAGCTCAGTGACCAAAAGTAACCATACAAGGCACTCTGATCATTAATTCCTACCTGGGAAGATCATGGTGAGTGGTCACATCCCAGGCCTATAGCTTCCTTAGTAAAAAGTTAATCTTTAACTTAAGAGAACACTATCCATTGTTCTTCTACATCTAGAATAACTTAAAATCTCAGGGTAATTTTCTTTTCCAGACCCCTCAGAAACAGACCCACTGGCAACAGAGCACAACATCACCAAAACTCCTCATTGTTATCTTGTTCCCCACGTAGGATCTCTATTTGTTGTAGCTGTTCAATGTTAAGTGTCCTGCACCCACCAATGTAAAAGATGTATCAATTTCCAGTCAAGAAGGCAGAGTAGGTAAATGCTACACTTACTTTCTCTTGTGACCGCATCAAAATTACACCTAAACTACAGAATAACCATATTGAGAACTGCCTGAAGTCTAGCTGAAAAGAAGTCATACAACAACTAAGGACATACAGAAGAACCCACGTGGAGAGTTGTAGGAGGGGCAGAGACACAGAACCGGCTAGTCTCACACCCATGTGTGGTGATTATAAATCAGAAGGGATATCTCGGCTGCAAAGTTCCCCCGGAGGAGTGAGGGGTCCCAGCCCCACACCAGGCTCCCCAGCCCAGGGTTCTGGTGTGAGGAAGAGAAGTCTCCACAACTTCTGGCTGTGAAAACCAGTGGAGATTGTGGCTGAGTGAGATGGAAGGCAGCTGGAGTCCCAGATGCTCCTCTTAAAGGGCCCACAAATGTATTTACTAGCTGACAGCCTCACTTCCTCTGAGCTCCAGTGCTGGGGTGTCAGCTTCTTACAGGAAGGAAGTGAATTGTCTAGCTTCAGGGCAAGGGCTGGAGAGGAACCTTTCTCCAAGACAGAAGTGCTGGCAGAAGCCAGTGTTTCTTTGTTAGCCCTCCTCCCTGCCTGAGTGCAGATGCAGGCCATCTCTGATTCTCCATCAACCTAGCCAAGAACGGTCGCCCAGCTCAGGTGATTGCCTGAGACCCTGCCCCACCCAGCTTTCAGGCCCATTCAAGCTGCTTCCAATGGCTTTTCCATACAAACAGCCTGTTTGGGCTCATGCTGTGGTCAGCCCCTGCCCAACAGCTCCTCCACTGTCGTCACAGCCAGTCCCACAACCAATCAACCTGAGGTCAATCCTTCACATGGATGTGCAAACAACAACCAAGACTCAACTACAACAGGAGGGCACACACAATCCCCACAAGGGTCATGCCTGGAGCACCCAGCTCAGATGACCAGGGAGACTGTGCCACTGGTACCCACAGGACACATACTACAGAAAAAACCACTCTACTAAAACCAAGAGACATAGCAACCCTACCTAATAAACAGAAACAAACCAGGGAAGCAGCCAAAATAGAAAGACAAAAACACATGTCCTAAATGAAAGAACAGAACAAAGCTTCAGAAAAACAACTAAACAAAATGGAAACAAGCAACCTACCAGACACTGAGTTCGAAACACTGGTTATAAGGATGTTCAGTGATCTCAGAGAGAACCTCAACAAAGAGATAAGAAACATAAAAATGGAAGTGGAAAACATGAAAAGAACCAGTCAGAATGAAGAATACAATAACTGAAATGAAGAATATATTCGAGGGAATCAACAGTAGATTAGATGAAACAGAGGATCAAACCAGAAATTCAGAAGATAAGGTAGCAGAAAACATCCAATCAGAACAGAAAAAAAAAAAAAAAGAATCCCAAAAGTATGAGGATAGTTTAAGGGGCCTCTGGGACAACATCAAGCATAACAACATTTGTATCATAGGGGTACCAGAAGGGATTGAAAACCTATTTGAAGAAATAATGACAGAAAGCTCCCCTAATTTGGCAAAGGAAATAGACATACAGTCCAAGAAATGCAGAGTATCCCAAACAAGATGAACCCATAGAGGCCCACACCAAGACACACCATAATTAAAATGTCAATTGTTAAAGGCAAAGAAAGAATTTTAGAAGCAGCAAGAGAAAAGCAGTTAGTTACCTACAAGGGAGCTCCCATAAAACTGGCAGCTGATTTCTCAACAGAAATTTTGCAGGCCAGAAAGGATTGACATGAAATATTCAAAGTGATGAAAGCCAAGGACCTACAACTGAGATTACTCTATCCAGCAAAGCTATCATTTATAATCAAAAGACAAATAAAGAGCTTCCCCGACAAGAAAAAGCTAAAAGAGTTCATCACCACCAAACCAGAATTACAAGGAATCTTAGAGGGACTCCTTTATGGCAAGAAGGATAAAAAATATGAATAATAAAATGGCAATAATTACATATCTATCAACAATTATTTTCAATGTAAATGGATTAAATGCTCCAGTTAAAAGATAGGGTGGCTGAATGGATAAGAAAACAAGATCCTTGGGCCGGCCGAGTGGCGCGATGGTTAAGAACTGGCTTGGGACGCCAGAAGGCCCCGGTTCGGATCCCACATATGAGGGCCAGTGATACTGCCCTCTACAGCTAAGATGCTGAACAACAGCTCGACCTGGAGCTGGGCTGCCATGGGTCACCGGCAACGTTGTAGGCTGCAGTCCCCTGCTGCAGTGGGCTGCCATAAGCTACTATGTGTAGCCAGCAGCCAGCGTGAGCAGCCAGCAGCCACCGTGAGCAGCTATCCAGAGGCCGGCGACTGATCTGCCTCACCTGGGAAGAGCGCAATGATAGTGCCAGCTTGGGCCAGTGAAGCAACATCCTCCACAACTAGACAAGAACAAACCAACAGCAACTTGTGTGTTCCCCTTCTCCCGATTCCCCAGCGCTGTTCCCCTCCACCAATTTCCCAATAAAATCTTTAAAAAAGAAAACAAGATCCTTACATATGCTGTCTACAAGAGAATCACTTCAGATTGAAAGACAACACAGACTGAAAGTAAAAGGATGGGGAAAAGATATTTCATGAAAATGGAAACAAACAAAAAAGCTAGAGTAGCAACACTTATATCAGACAAAATAGACTTTAAATCAAAGGTTATAACCAGAGACAAAGAAGGACCCAGTAATCCCACTTCTGGGCATTTATCCAAAGAAACCCAAGACACTACTTCAAAGGGACATGTGCATCGATGTTTTCATTGCAGCATTATTTACAGTGGCCAAGATATAGAGGCAGCCTAGGTGTTCATTAATGGATGAATGGATAAAGAAGAGGTTGTACCTATATACAATGA